TAATCAGCACTGGGGAGCAAACACCAAGGAGGTTTCTTTCAACGTCCACGGTGTCGTCTATGTCAGCGAATCCGAAATGCCGTCTGACCCTATTGAAGCCGAAGGTACTACCATACAACTATCTGATCATCCCCATGTAGGCCACAGCAAAGCTAACGATGCCAAACCGCAGCCCGCAAACTGTCCGATCTCCTTGCCCAAGTCAAGGACGAACAGCAATACATTATCATGCGAGAGCGGACCCACCGCAACACTGCCGAGAGCACCAACGCCCGCGTCAAGTGGTGGAACCTGTTTGTCATTGGCGTCGTCCTCGGCGAGTCTCTGTTCCAGGTCTGGTGGTTGCGCCGCTTCTTCGAGGTCAAGCGTGTCGTATAAAGGGGGATGGGGCGGTATTCTTAATTTGTTCATTCGATCCTATTCACAAAGAATAAAAAGCGACAAGCACTTGACCACGGCAGAAAGCAGCCTGGTTTCCCAGCTGCTTCAACTTTGGGGCAGTTGTCAAAACGCGGTTATTTGGTTTTCACGAGCAGCATATTGGCGTAAACGGGAATGGTCTTGGGAACACGTGAATGACGGCAAGGGTGAGCATTGCACAAGACTTAGTTTAGGGTGAGGGGCCCAAGATGTAAGATTTAGGCGGTAATAGATGCGTCTTTATTCCTCGTATAATGAATGAATGGAGAAAACTCGAAAAGCCCGTTCACGTCAAATCTATAATTTATCACTCAGAAGACGAACCCTTTTTCGTGGCCACGGTTACAAAGTGCACGTCATGGAACGTATCTCAGTCTCTCTCAGCTCAGTTGATCAACGAACTTAAGAAACAGCCATGCCCGAGCGAGGCCGACTTTATTGCATCCACACATACGTATATACACATCGTAAATGTTTCTACGGCATAGAATCGTCCCATGGAATCCGGCCGCACGACCCAGTTTGTTAATGAAAGAAAGAAAAGTCATTCCCAGCGCCCTGTACACCAGTCCATCTAGAACAGAAGAATAAAACACACAACATCAAACAACAGATATGCCCAAATCATGCCGTCGGGTCCGACTCGACACCTTCATCACCCTCCTCAGGCGGCGCCTCAACCGGCAGCTCGACATCCTTGACAGGATGCAGCAACATGGCCGGGACGCACATCCTCCCCTCACCACCACGCATATTGCCCACGCCCGAGCCCTCCTTGGTCTCGTCCCGGTTCTTCTCAAACTCCTCGCCGCCGTCATTATTCACCTTGAGGCCAACCCATCTCTTGTACAGGTTGGGCGCGAAGCCAGAGTTGTAGAACCAGCTCAGCCCCTTGAGGTTGTGCTCGCGCTCGCCAAAGACGCTGGTTCTCGCGCCGCCGCTGGAACCGTCCCGGCCGCCATTGTACGTCTGCGCCATGTACTCGACGGGCCACTTGCGATCGACGTACATGGGGTGCGGCGCGTAAACGGCCTTGTAGCCGTGCTGGAGGGCGACGGTGGCGGGCCACATCTCCGGGAACGCAAACTGCTTCTTGAACGCCGTCATGCGGTGCATCTTCATGAGCAGACGCCGCGACATGCGAGACGTGGTGATCATGGCGGCGCGGCGTGGCGGGAGCGGTCGTGTGCGGTTATACCCCGTGATGTCCTCCTTGAGAACCCATGTCGTGCCCTCGGGATCAAAGATGGGGTTCAATGAGATGTAATCTGCTTCCTCGCCGACGCCCCATTTGTACTTGTCCGCCTCGTACGTGGTCGGTGCAACGGGATCGGCTTCCGTCTCAAACCAGTCCTGCTCCTCGGCTGGTCGAAGGGGTCCCCAGATCATCCGGGAGCCCATAGATGGCGTCGTATCGGGCGTCTTTTCACCCGGCATCTTCTTCCAGACATTGTCAGCGCCAACGGTGCCCATTTCGCTCTGCACGCGGGACATTTGTGAAAAGTCCTCCCAGGTGCCGTGCACGCTGGGGAAGTAGAAGCGGGAGTTGCGTTCCCAGAGCCCCTTTCTAGGCTGCGCCTTGGCCCATTCCTCGAGCTTGGTGACAAAGTCGTAGTAGTGGCCCGTATACCGGACGTCCATTTCCCACTGCCAAAAGTAGTCGTATTCGGGGTGCAGGTAGGCAAAGTGTTGCATGGCCATAGAGAGGCCTCTGTAGACGCCGTGGACGGGCAGATCCGGTCCGCGAGTCCACAGATCGTAAATGCCCTGGTACAGAGCCAGCATTTGGGTTTCCGTCCAGAGGGTGACGAGGCCTTGGAATTCCTTGGGGATGGTCTCGTTGATCCGCTTCTGATAGGCTTCGTGGTCAGCCCAGATGGGGTGTTTGCCGTCCTCTTTGACCTGGACAAGGAGATGGACGTCGTATCTGCCGCCAGACGCCATGGATAACTCGGCAATCATGGACCGGATGTTGGCAATGTCGTCTTCGCGGAAGAGATACGAGTCCCAACATCGAACTACAATTGCTGTTCTGGCAGTGCTTCCGGTACTGGCGCTGCCCTTGGTGCTCTCGGAAAAGGCAGGGGTGGCCGTGGGCTTCTCGGCCTCTTGAGTAGTGTTGGAATCTCTGACGGCGTCCTTGTCCTCGGACCGACGAGCCAAGATGCTCTCGGCGCTGGACTGACCGATATAGAACCCATGAGAAGAAGGCGTCATGGGCGGCAGAGCCTTGTATCGTCCAACATTGGCATTGTAGCATCGACGCTGTACGTCGGCCCAGTCCACAGATCGGTAGTCCACGCGTGGCGTCTTTTCCCACACGGCATCGAAGCCCTCGTTCTCACCGTGCTCCCCGGTACTCAGACCGCCCATTCGTTGAGAATACCCAAAGCCGTACGGTCCATACCGGCCATACCGCTCAAAGCAAATGTCGTCAGGGAGCTTAAGAACTTCATAGGACCCCGATACGTGCTCGGGAAAGCCGTAGGTTCTGCCATTGTAGTACCTCAACGGAGGCACGCGTACTTTTCCAGCAGCATCAATGAAACACTCCTGAATATCAGACTCCTTCTTCGCAGTAGGATACGTCTCCCACGACAAGCTAGGGGGCAGCTCCTCGTCAATCACATCCCGAACAGTCTTGACAGCAGCAGATTCGTCTCCCAAAGTCGTCGAGACCACGGGCTCTTTCGCAACTGGATACGACGGTTCACTCTCGTTAAACGGCTTCAACGTCCGGATCCCACCGTAGTATCTCTCTAAAAACGGAAAACTCTCCCACAACGGTGGCGGCGGTGTCGTCGTCTTGACTTGTCCATTTGCCACTTTCCAATTCTCAACTTGGCTTGCACGCACAAGACTGAGCACCATGAGGACAATTGTGCCAATCCCGCCGATGAGCACCCATCGGGTTACTTTTGTCGGCAGCCGATAGGGATATAGTCGTGAGAACCCATGTTTGGGAGGCTGCTGTAGTAGTTTCCGCTTCGGCAGTAGCAACAGGCCACTGGGCGCCGAGTCGGATACATTCCTTGAACTATACAGCGATGAAGACCCCGAGTGGTATGACCCGTCAGACTCGTCGTCTGAGTAGTCATATTCGTCATCCGAGTAACGTTCTTTAGTCGGTGATTGTGGATTCTCGTAGAGCGGCAGCCGCTGTTCGCGGGACCGGAGAGGGTTGGAGAGCAGCCCCATGAGGGCGGTGGCCGTACCGACTACATATCCATTGTTAATGCCTTTTACAGAAACAGAAATTCCACCAGACGAACGAGAGAGCAGCGAACCTACTGTGAAGTGTCTCAATGGGGAGCACGCAAGGTATGCGGCAAGGTAAACTTAGGCGGGCGGATATATCATCCACGTGCTAATGCTGGAATGCTCCAACTTTATCATGTGTGTTGCGTTCCAGTCGTGGGATAAAACAGCAAGAAAATGGTCATGTACAATTTTTAGTCATGCGGCATGAAGGGAAATTTCTACCGCAAAACGATGTCTCAGCCCAGGCAAAGGTTGGCTGTGGATTGGGTCATGCGTGTTGGCAGGGGATCAGATGCGGTTGCCGAGCAACGCGGTGACGAGCCATGCCTCGTCCAACCGCGTCATGACGCAGTGACACGCACACCGACAGCGTGCTTGGCGGGTTGCACATTCGAGTCCGATTACGGGATGCCATTGAAGTGCGTATGCTTGCCAAAAGATCTAGAACGCCTGATTGCAATTGCGTGGAATCTGGTGAAGCGGAAAGAGAGATTTCGTCTACTCCGTACAGAGCATACATAGGCGTTGCATGGTGTGCTGATGCCCAATGGACCACCATGAGAAATTGCGGTGATGGTTTTACCGCCCTGGCGTCAAAATATCTGTTGTCCGTGAGTCTGGTTGAATACAAACGCACTGCATATGTAGTGTCTGGTACCAGTTGACACTTGGATTCTATCCGCGGCTGGTCGTCGCAATAAAGGCGAAGGCGGTCCCCGCTCATGGCAAGACGAGACGACATGTCAAGTGCTGCAAAGAGTCTCGACTCCCGAATCACGACGAGCCCAAAACCCAAAATTCAACCAGCATCGGCAGCCCAACGCCATGGCTGGCCGGATACCGCAACACCGCCCTTTTCAACTGGCCGAGAACTCACAGGGCGCTACCGTTTGACCTAGCGCAGCGCATAACTTGCAATGTTCGCATCGAGCAAGCAGCCCGGTGACCCGGTGGCTTCATGTACGGATTACTAGATGCAGCTGCCAACAACCATTTACATACTAACAGTCACGGGGGCAGCCTTGTGAAACTCCTCCTGCAGAGGGCCTATCACGGAGAGCAATAACGTGGATTTAAATCGTCCGATACCAAAGGATGTGTCAGGTTTGGGTCGGTGGCTTTTGGGAGCTGCCAGGCCATGTGTGGCATAAAAGACTGGTTCTAGGACAAGCCCATCTTGAGATGGAATCGCGAGAGCTCCTCTGTGCATCAGCACGCCGAATCTCGTCTTGTCCATTGTGTCTACTGGGACGGTATAGAGTGTTGGACCAAGTCGTTCCCTACAATAAACATCCGTAACCTGTCTCTCTTGGGCAAACATGTCCGTCACCATCGCGTCAGCCACCTCTACTCTGACTCCCGAGCACGACGTCGTAACTCTAACATCTTCCCCTCCTCCTCCCCTTCCTCCACCACAGTCATCACCATCATCGTGTCAACTGCACCAGAAGCCAATATCAGTCACCCTCACCGGCTCCAGCATCTTCACCCTCTCCGCCGCCCTCCTCATCTCAATCCACTGCCTGGGATCGGCCCTCACCGAATGGCTCATCCTCCTGACCCCTCTCCTCGTGCTCGTCCACAACGACTACGAAAACTTCCTCAGCCTCGGGCCCGGGGGCACATCGCCCACCTTCTACGGCTACCTGCAGATATCGTGGTGGCGTCTCTGGGCTCTCCGTGACCCGTTCACGCCGCCCGCCCACCTCGCCGTCAACCACGCCTCGCCATCCGGCACCCTGCGCTCACAAAGCCTGCCCTACCGCTCTGGCCCTCGGCCCCGGGTGGTGGGCATCGCTCCCCAGCGGCAGCTGGACCAGCACGGCGCCCGGAATAGCTACCACACGCTGCGGAGGGCAATGGTGAAGCTGGGCAACGGGAGCCCCCTCAAGTTCGGCACCGAGAGGTCGTGCGTGGAGAAACACGGGCTGGCCTTGTTTGCGAAGCACGCGCTGCGGACGAATTGCCAGGGCGAGATTGTTCATGTCCACGACTCGGATCATTCCATGCACATGTGCTTGCACCCGGATGACATTGGGGAGGTGTTGGCCAAGGGGTGGGGGCAGATGCATCCGCTTGCGAGAAAGGGCTGGTTTCTGCAGATGCCGGTGGCGCCGAATTTTATCATGATTTATGCTCCGAGGAGTAAGTGACAATGTCTTGTTGATCACTTTGCATGAATCATGTACACAAGTCTGTATATTGCTAACGCTTCATAGATGAACAAGAGTTGCAAATCGTATATAGGATCATCGAAGCGGCGATTTGGTACATTTCGGAGGAGAAGGCCTCCCTTTCTTAGTTCTATCCATGGCGTACAAGGGGGAAACTAGGAGCATCGGCGTAGTCTTTTTTTTTCCTTTTTGTCAAATCCCAGGGAGCCGTGATATTGATACATGTATTTCGAGGGTATCTGCTTTATTTCAAATCTACTACTAATACAAAACGCACCACCCCTCCAAAAGCTACCCGTCCCCTATTCATCTGAATCATCATCCTTACTCGTATCTTTATCAGACTTCTTGAATTTCTCCTTGCCCGTCTTGAGGGAGGCCTCCACCACGCGCCCATCAAAGCTTCTCCCGTGCATAAGCTTGATACACGCCGCAGCCGACTCTGTATCCTTGAACCTCACCGACACAACGCCATCTACTTCTTGATCGTACAACACGACGCTCGTCACCGTACCCAACTTGGCACACTCGTCTCGAATGTCCTCCTTTATCTCCAACAAGGCAGCAGGGTCCTCATCCAACTCCTCAAGCGTAAACATGTGGCGCAGGATAACCGTCTTGTCCCTCTTTGAATTGGACTGCGTCATGGCTGGGTAAGGATCGTCGTCGTCCCAATCCGCCAACTTGGCGTCGAGCTTTTGCGTCTTCTTGATAATCTTTTGGCGGTCGCGATCGCTTCTCTGTGGCCGCTTGTCTTCCCGCCCGCCGTTGCTACCACCGCCTGGAGTCCCGTCCGTTTCGTACTGGACCTTTTTGTAGCTTGAGTCTGCGGCCTGGACTCGCATCCTGCCTTCTCGTGTCCCCGTGGCATTCATGCGAAAATCCGTGTCGTCTAGTAGCATAATTGCCATTTCTACGCTCTGTGGCTTGAAGAACACAATCAATGCGTCGCCCTTGAAGTTCCCCGCCTCATCTGAGTACAGCTTGATCCTCGGCGCACCACTGTCAATCTCCTCGGCAATGACACCTCCCTTGCGCGAGAACAATTCGTGGACTTCAGACACCGTGGCATCAAGAGGCAAGCCGGTGACGTAGACGGCGGTGTTTTCTCGCGGCCGTGGAGGTGCTTTTTGCTTCTTATTCGGACGTGACGGCGGTGTTTGGTTGCTTCCCTGGCAATATGCGACTGTCAGGCTACGCCATTATTTCATTCTCATGCACGTAGAGGCGGCGAAATCACAATGTGGTGCTGCAGGCAACAAGAGCTCACCTCGGACCCATTCTCCGTGTCAAGATGTCTCTTCCTTGTACGGCCTTGTAATTCTTGTGCCAAAGAGTCTTGTCCATAATTGTGCTCCTCGTGGTCTAGGGGTTCCTCCTCCGCAGGCACCCATCGTTTCAGGTGCGCATCGAACTCGAACTCAGTACCGTCGTCGTGAACAGCGATGAATTTGTTGTCGAGGCGTGAAAACGATATCCGGTCGTCGCCGTCGAACTCCTGGATATCGGTCGGGAATGGCAGGTCCATTTTGGCTGCTCTACCCTCGCAATCGACAAAGCATGGAATGTGAAAGGAGTTGCTCGTCCGCGCCGAGGGCGGTGCCAGCTTTCCTGGACAGCTTGACGTCTGTACGTCAGACCCACGAGTCGTACGTGGGGCCAGCATTTTGGAGATGGGCAATCACAGTCACTTGCTGGAGGGACATGTTTTGATTTAGCAATGTCAGCTCAATAAACTTAAAAACAGCATTTCTAATGTATTTCCCTGGTTCCTGGGTGTGTCCTTGGTATGTAGGATGCCCGTTTATTTTAGAGGCCTGTCTTGCCCAAGTCTGGCGTGTGCAAATAGCAGTATTCTACATGCCACGCTCAGGTACACTACATGAACGTGTGTCCCGTTTGTCAACCACACCTCGGCTTTTCAGGGACGTTAAATCATTTGTTCACTGCCTCCGCTCTTGAACAGTCTTTCTAACGCCATCTACAAAAACCTTGACTGCCTGGCCTCCTCCCAGCGGCATGCCGCTGCCCTGCATGTAGCCACCGTTCTCAACCCTAATGCCCAGGGCATCCGCAACCCCGGGAAGTCCGCCATCCCTCAACGCCATGGTTAAAACCCCCAGGGCCTGGTGAAGCTGAGGGCTTCTCAAAACCTTCTTCAATAAGCTTCGTTTGTCGTCCAACGAGAGCGATGCCTTGGCTGCCTCAATAGCATGCGCTGATGGCTCCTTCTGGCTTTCTTCTCGAGCTGTTCCAGTGGCAAGGACAATGACAGACGGTGGCAGAAAGCTCAACAAAGAATCAATGTATTCAGGTGCTGCGCTGTCTATCACTGGCACTGTGATTGCGGTGGGCAAGAGATGATTGAGGTAAGGATATGGCACGTCCGACTGTTGCTGGTGTCCCCCCGAAAGTCCTTGCTGGCCTCTCAAAGATTCCAGGAAGTTTCTCACGGCTGCTGCGGCGTCTGGTGCTGACGAGGAAGCCCTAGAGGCTGGTCAGCTTAAAATCACGAGATTATCCACTCAGAAAGTACATGTTCATGCGTCATTTGTTTAGCTTTCTTCTGCTGCGACATGCGAGACTCTAGTAGTAATACAGTCACTGGGACGGACATTGATTGTGAACCCTTTCCGCTCTTCCCGGCACCACATAGCTTGCAACGGCCAAAAAGCGAGAAGACAAAAATAACTGCAGCTTCTTTGGAGGGGAAACCGCCTTGCAATGGGGGATGACCTACGCTCTGGCACCATCAGCACCACCCTCTCTTGACTCTTCGCCCTCTTCTCTGACGTCTCCTCCAGTGGCATCAGGACCGGCCCCGCCGCTCCCGCCACCATGATGGGCATGTTGACCCCGCGTGCCTTCGACATCCTCCATGGTTTCGTCATCGTCATCGTCTCGATCGTCGACGTTTCGGACAGAAGCCAGCTCGCTCGTCACATTAACCTCTTCACCCTGTAGCAGTCTGTTCACAATGTCACCAATCTTGCGATCTCTGGGGCTAAACCAGCTGGGGTTCCCATCGCGACTTTGTGGTTTTGACTGCATCCAGAACAGGTAGCGCTGGGACGAAGATGCAAACTTCAGAACAAAAATACGGCCATTCGTCTTTGCGGTGGGTTCGGAATTTGAGTTTTGTTCGTAAGGGACAAAGCTGCCATCAGTTGGCACCATGACTAGATCAAGTTCCGGCTCATCAAGAGTCTGATCGCGTTTGCGCCAACAAAAATGTATCAAGTCTTGCAGGTGTTAGAACCAACCGATGTTAGCCTCAAAATTGAAGGAGCGTACCATCTTCAGAGTATAGATAGAGATATCCAGGCTGAGGCTGAGGCTTAACCTTGAGAGGCCGCGACGAGCCGTCCTATGAAGATGAGACGTCAGTGAGAAACGAGGTCAAACAAGCATGGAGACAATGTAACGGCACGGCAAGGGCAGGAGCGGCATACGTCAACCTCGCATTGGCCAGCCTTGAAGGTGATGATGGGCGCAATAGGCATTTTGTCTCGCGCTCTGGCAAAGAGTCCAGACGGGTTCGTGTCAAAGGGATTGTGGTAGGGAACGAGAGCTGAACGACTGCAGGAACTCGAGAATGAGAATGTAAATGGAGCTTGCACACTAAGTACTCGAGGCAATAGGCTGCTAGAGCTCTTACGTCGGGTTCAGTGGCGCTGTGGGCTCAAGTGGTGACGGTGGTCCACGGCCCGACGCTTTCTCCGCTCATTTCTCCCAAGGGTTGGTCAGGGATCCACTACACGGAGCTGGGGCAGGCAAAACAAATAAATTTCTAGCCACTCCATGCTGATTTCTTGACCTGCACCTCTACTTTTTTCCAAAGAAAAAAAAAACTAAACAAGTCATGTAGACGCCATGCCGCAGCATCAATTGCCTGCATCCATGGCTTGCAGGACACCTTTGTCCATCTTGGTTGGAGCCTCGGCTTTATTCTCAGCCTGCAAGCTCAATTGTTTCTTGAATGTAAGTTTCTACAATTCTACGGCACGCCCGAGGTCACTTCTTCCACGATGGCAAGTTGCCAGGACTTTAATGATGAGAACAATTGGTCCGTGTTTCGGAGGCGGACTCAAGACCCGCCGACTGACGAAATCACAAGCATTTATGCATCTCTGAACACTGTCCGCTCGCTCATGTTTTTTTTTCGAGTTCTAATGCCAACAAACTCGCTAACTAGCATTTTCAGTGACAGATTCCGTTAGCATTGATCAAGATGTGGCTCGTAGTACTGCGACCCGGAGCTCGTTCGTCAAATGACTCTTATCCTGGTAGAGGGAGAAGCAGAGGGTATTCTGAGCTCGAGTCCCGGCGTATATTTGCAAGCTACTCCCCATACGTCGAGCTGTAGTAGGTTGTAGTTAGCATTTGAATCGTGTGAACAAATTGAGATGTGCCATCTCTGCTTGGCGGTCCGATCATCTCATCTCAGTAGTAGTATACGAGATGACTCGGTAAACAAAGGTACTCTGATCATGCAGTCATATGAGCACTCTTCACTACTTTCCCATCTGTACTTCGTACTGCGTACTATTTTGTTCCAGATTGTCGTTTTGCATCATTTGAGACGACTAGCGCAGCCCAAAGACATCATGACTACCGCTGAAGCCAGCCGGCATGCGGTTTCACGACTTCACACCAAGTATTGCGACCATGGCCTGCTACACGGTGCCTACCAGGTAGGCGGGTATCTTTGATTTCAATGTTCTGCATGCTGAAAGAAATTGGAGGTCTCCATCTCCACATGCAAGCACCAATTTTGCTATTGGCGGGGCAGGCAGCCAGCGCCAACCGCCAATCTTCTCAAATGTTAGCCAAGCTTGCTATGGAGTACATACTTGGTGATATAGCGGGGTAGGCCAACCTCTGTGCTCCCACTTGGAACGCGTCCGTCACTCGAGTCGCGTCCATCTCAAGACGTCCGCCACCCTTGGCCTCTTGTTTGTTAAGCAAAATTCGCGGAAAACCTGTCCCAGCCAAGAAGGGACAGACACCTCCCTTCCAACATGTACGGAGACATGGGAGTGAAACTGGTACGCAGATTCGAGAGAACGCATCCCGCAACCATGCCTCGGGACTAACTCATTGGCCAGGTTCAACACGCCAAAAGGAC